TTACTTACTTACTTACTTACTTACTTACTTACTACTCTCTACTCTCTCTACTCTCTCTCTCTCTCTCTCTCTCTCTCTCTCTCTCTCTCTCTCTCTCTCTCTCTCTCTCTCTCTCTCTCTCTCTCTCTCTCTCTCTCTCTCTCTCTCTCTCTCTCTCTCTCTCTCTCTCTCTCTCTCTCTCTGCCTCTCGTTCGCAAAAGCGGGTGGTAACGGCTAATCCAATCCTATTTACATCGCGGAACTGTCGCGGCGGCATTGACGCACGCGGAAATAAATCCCGACACGACTAACACGAACGCTCGCGCGCGTCCACCGCGCCGCGTCGCGCCGCGTCGAGGGCGCGTGTAAATCCCGGGCTTTCTCTCGGAACAAATCGAATGTCGGTCGATGTAAATGAATTCCGCTCTAATTGCAATTATGCGACACGAATGCGCATAAACGTTCGCGTTATGCGATAAATGACACGTCACTCAGAGGCCGGCGCGGAGCGGCGCCCGCGTTTGCCCGCTCTCTCTCGCGTCATTGCGAATTTATGAAATGGCGATCGTTATATCCGTATCGGGCCCTCTCGAAACCGTTCGCGTTATAATTGCAATTAATCAATAATTGACGTCATATAATTGGGCGGTCGCCGAGACGACAGACCGTTAAACATTCACGTCCGAGCGTCTAGTGGATGGCGTATCGAAATGAGTTTCCTGGCATCTCAATTTTGCACAAGACGCTCGATCGCTCACGAACGTGGCATTCTAAATTTAAAAGAAAGACTAATTGTATTTATATAATAAATATATATTTTTCGTATCTATTTTGATGCGCACGTCTTTTTCAGATTTGAGAACGAAAAGCCAATTATAATGTGATAAAAATAAAAAGTCATTATGAGATAGTTAACTTTTTATTAAAGTCTGAAGTCATTACTTCAGTTATTTGATATCGATCGTGTCACGAAAAATTATTTTTTATTTATTATAAAGATATAGTATTTACTTGATGGCTGCACGATCGTAAGATATAATCTTTGATATAATAATATTTACCTTCAAATATAATTTGGCGGACGCCAATGCAATAAATGCAATTGTCATAATACTGTCACGTATAATTATAACATTGTGAGTTGTATCGTTATTATCAATAATTAATTAGTTAGAGCCACAAACTCTATACCGATAGATTTCTGGCACGAATCATCAAACAACTGAAATCCGCGATGAGAGCATCTTTGAATCGGCGGAACGTCGACCTCGAAAATTCAAACCATAATCGATAATACATCGCGTCAGACAGTTTCAATGCAAATACCACCTCGCCGAGAGTAAATGAGTAAAATTGGCGAATACGCCGATCGGTAGGCATACCATGTAAATACGTGATGGAGATCACCCTTGTCCCCCGAACCAAATTCCCCAATCCCGACCGATTCGCCAAGCTGTTTAGTCAGTTCGATTTATTTATCAGCCAGCTGTGATTAGACTTTCGCTTTATCGCGGATTCGCGGCCTCGTCAGATATCCACTTTGTTAACGACCCAGTGAACAATCGTGCAAGTATCCGAACCCTTTCGAACGCGCCGTCGAGAATTTCGCTTCGATAAATCGGCTGTTCACACTTTCTGTTTTTCCGTTTCTGTTTTCTTTCGAGTCCCTCTCGCCTTCTCTGTCTCTCTCTTTTTCTGTTTTTTTTCTTTTTTGATGATACACGCTTCGAGAGCCTTCCACCTGTTGCTAAAAAAGAAATATTTTGTGTCGCTGTTGTAATCAATATTTATATTTCTTCTTAGATTCATATAGCCTCTTTTTGATAGTATATAAAAAAATATTTTGCCTATTTCATAGACAGAGAGAGAGAGAGAGAGAGAGAGAGAGGAGGGAGGGGCGAGAGAGAAAAGAAATAAAAGGAAAAAATTTCTATTAAACATTTTCACTCTTCGCTCTCTTTATTCTTCTACTTAAGAAACTAAAACAGCTAAACTCCTTAAAATTCATACAACTAATAAGTTACAAAAAATATATAGATTAATTTTTCAATGAATATAGTAATCACAGTAAATATCTTAGATACGAAAAAATTACTATATAATAGGTTTTCAATGTGTATTGTAAATATCAACCTATGAAACTTTTCACTCGAAGAACGCCTCTGACGAGGCGTTTCACAGCTATGCCGCCGTGGTGTCTGACTTGATATTGCCGTTACTACTTGAGGTTTAATTCCCGCGTTCACCGCATGATTTCCTTCGCGGTAACGAACACTCGAGTGCCGCCATTCCATCGCCTCGAAAGAGCACGCCCGTTCGCGCGGAAGAAGCCAGTTTGCAAGTTCGAGGCTCGGACGGGAGAACAGTTCTCGCGCTCGTTACGAGATTAAGGAAAAAGCTTCGAGCAACGAGGGGGCGGCGGGGTGGCGACTAGGGCACCCGGGGCCCACCCATGGAGACGTGCCCCCTTTCGGGGTGTCCTATCGCCGACTCGAGCTTATTCCGCCCCTCAAGCTCGGGCCACACCCGCAATCATGCGCAGTTTCCACCCATCGGCCAATGAAAGCGCCCGGTAGCTTGCAAGCTCGCCGCTCCGGCTCCGGCTTCCGTGGCCGAGCCACTCCGACCAAACACCACGTGGCACGCGTCCGAGTTGCACGTGCATTCGCGGAGCTGCGAGAGCCCTGTGCGCGCGCGAGAACGGGCGCTTGCGAGAGAGCTTGCGAGAGAGCTTGCGAGGGGTGTTCTCGCCGCCGGGGATAGCGGAGAGCGCGTCTCTCTCTCTCTCTCTTTTTGCCGTGAGAGATTTTCTTTCCTGCGCGGACTCCTTAAACAACTTCTTTCTGTAATATATCCCCTCGATCCTACAGTCAGTCCCCCTTGCTCTTTTACCCTCCTTTTTTAAACCTTCTCTTTCCTTCTCTTTTCCTCTTACGTTTCCCCCACAATCCCTCCTTATTCTTGTCGACGCCTTTTATATAAATGATAGATCGAGTCACTGTCATATTATACATTTGTCATACTGTGACGTGAAAGATTTTGCTGTGCTTCGAAAAATCCGCTGAGATCGACGTCTTTCGACTTCGGTAAAGATCAAGATCTATCGACAACGATAAAGATCTCGACAAGTTACGGACAAGGTAAGGAAATTATATACTTGATATAGTTTTTTGTTAAAATATTTGGCTTTCATATACAGAGAATTGAATAACAATATTTTCATTTTTCAATTTATATCGTCATATTATAAATAATTTAAAATATACATACTGAACATAATGTTATATAACAATTCCTGATAATTAATATTCATAAAGTTAAGATAATATATGTAAAAATAAGCACATGCATGTGAACTAAATGTATTTGCTTGAAAATTTAATATTTTTCTCTTGAGTGTAAAAATTCCATATGTGATAAAGAAAGATTTAAAGTAAGACGAGAAATATATTTAATACCGGAATTTCTTATAACTTTCGTAATAATATTATAATAATTATACAATTTCAATATAAAATATAAATTTTTATATTATATTATGATCTACTATATTAATTATTTCGCTAAACTTAAAGAAATAATTATAAGAAATTAAATGAAATTTTTTAAAGAAATTTGATCTGTATATGATATAAATAGGTTACGTCAGATATAAATGTAAGTTAATCAAATACAACACAATGCTTTAGTTTTAATAAGAATTAATTTTTCATGGCACGTTTACATAAAAATATAATGCACGAATAAAATTTGAGAATAAGCTATGATATATATAAGAAAGTTTGATATAATAGGCGTCAGTGTTGGTTGAAAGAGAGCCGATATTCAACAGTTGGTCCTTCTTTTATCTTTGAAATTTAACCCTCGATGTTACCGCTCTTCAAACAGGCACCCTCTGTTCGTACGTCCTGAGAGAAGTACTTCTTGAAAACATAACGAAAGTATTTAAAAAAGTTGAGGGAATTTTCTGCGTAAAACAAGGGGAAAATATTTTTCGAGTAATGAAGCAGAACAAATAAATAATATTTGAATCTGTTTCTTTATACTTGGAATAATTTAAAATTTTTAATTAACTAAAAAATAAATAAAATATAGTAAAGAAATATTTGAGAAATTATTTTATGTGTATATGACTAGTAAACATAACATTAGAATCGTATTTTTTCTGCAAAAGATGTTGAAAAAACTCCTTAAATTGCCAAAAATGTTCACAATTCTTAATTAAACATTTTTGCAATTAATGCTTAGAGTAACAAATCTGTTAAAAACGAAATTTGAATTTTGTAATTTATCAAAAATTAGATTTTTGAACTAAAGAGTAATATTTTAAAGTTTATTCTCCGCAAAAAATCATTCAATTTTCATTTTATAATTTAAACTATCAAAATTTCTCTCGAAATTTGTTAAACGAA